TCCACAGCTCCTTTGGTAAGGCATTCGCTGTATAAGTTGAACAAAACTGGTGATAAACAGCATCCTTGCCGAACTCCTCTTCCAATCTTCACACTTCTTGTCTCCCCTCTGTCCAGTCGCACTCTAACTTTCTGATCCATATACAATTTACCAATCAATCTTCTTTCACGCCAATCGACACCTATTTCCTTTAGGATCTGCATTAATTTGGTCCACTTTACACGGTCAAATGCCTTCTGCCAGTCTATAAAGCAAGCACACAGTTCTTCATCTATCTCCAAAGTTCGTTCTGCTATAATTCTCATCATCCCAATTGCATCCCTGGTTCCTTTTCCTCTTCTAAATCCAAACTGATCCTCTCCAAGTATATCCTCTATTTTCCTTTCCATTCTTCTTTTAAGTATCTTTGCTATTATCTTTGCTGTATGTGCAATAAGGCTTACTGTGCAATGGTCGCTGCATTTTGTAGCTTTTGTCTTTTTCTTTAAGGCAATCATTGTCACTTCTGTAAAGTCCTTGGGCCACTCCCCAGTTTCATATATGGTGTACTATTTGTCATGTGTTATAAACCACTCCTTAACCAACTGACTTACACTATTATCATACAGACTAAACATCTAATCATGACTATGCTAGTCATTTCACAAAGAGAAATAGGATGAAGTAATCAAGCAGAATGCCAACTGTGCACGGCAGTCTCGTTTTTTTTCCACCCAAATAATTTTTCCCCCATTTTTTATGGTATACTCACCTCTTCAACTATATTTGTAACATTCAATCTTTCCCTGATGTCAGAATTTCTTTGGTTACCTATATACTGAAGTCTCAAAGTGGTCTCAAAAACACATCCGTACTACCTCTAATTGCTGGGATTAATCTACTTTTGGTTCAAAGCCAAATTTCACTTCCCTCATTAAATGCTGCACTTGATGTGATGTTATGTAAGCTTAATGTAGTATCAAATGATATTTGTGACAAAATTTCTAATTACTATTAATTCTATTTCATGTTTCAGTAATCTGGCCCCAGACATTTTAAATACTCTTTCCAAGTTGTGAGCCGGCTCACAACCAACGCGCAGACTAAATAAATGTGTGCATGCTCTCCTCCCCTCCCACATGAGGACAGAACCCAGACTGACTGGGGGACAAGGGTGGAACGGAGCTTGGATGTGAGGGCAAGAGTCAGACAGAGTCCAGTGGTCACAAGGGCTAGATGAACAGTACTGCAGCAGCAACCCTTGTACAGAATATTTAAAGTGCCTGCCTATGTCTACACATCAAGCATTCATTATTCTTACAATATAGCACTGTTAAATCCAATTCCCTGTCAATGTCTGTTAATTTAAACCCACCCCTGTACATCGAATCCGCTCACCTCTCAGCGAACCTCAGTATCCCTGAAATACTGGGATACAACACTAGGTAGTTATTGTATGCAACAATAGAGACGGTGTCAAGATACATGGTGCACAGCCATTGCTATGTAGCGCCCACAGCATATGCATGTGCAGTGACATCACACAAGAGAACAGATGATGCAGGTGGTGTTCTCTGTGGGTCCACTCTGAGGCTATATGATTTGACTGGCCGTGTTCTGTTCAGTGAGTGAGTGCAGTGCAGTCGAGGGTTCAGTTGTGGAGTGTTAACCAGCAGGCAATGGAAGCTGAAGAATCACCACTGCTAAGCAACATTACCAGGAAACGTCTAGTGAAGATAGGAGAAATAGCTATCATGGAGAGCTGTTACCAAGTAAAGTCTAGTGAAAGTTGACTAAGAAATCAGCAATAGTGTTATAGTTATTTGTAGTCATTACTTGTAAGTGGACACTAAATCTATTCACCAATCCAAACCCCATCTATAGTCACTAATAAATGTGACAATATGTACCTACCACTGCTGCCTTATGGTCCTAGACTAACAAGGCCAAAATTACACCCAAAACACTGTCTTGTTTTCTCTCCAAGAAATGAATACAGAATTTCAATATGGGAATATCTTAAAAAAAAAAAAAAAAANACGATCCCAGTGGCGCAGGGTCTAAGCCATGAACTGTCTTTGTCCTCTCAAACACTGGGGTCATGGGTTCAAATCCAATCAAGGCTAGGATGTTTGTTTGTGCTGTCCAGTGTAGGTAGTGGCCTTCCAACAGGCTGATGCCCATGTCCAAGGAGTCTTGTCAACTATCAACAAGATTAAGAAACTGAAGTGAAACGAAGCATTTCAGAGATATCCTATGCTCCAGTGGGAGCAACAGGAAAGACAAATGAATGAACATCTAAAGAAAAACAACTGATTGAAATTCTGCGCCAGAGATGGGAGACTAACGTAAACTTAATATCATTTGGGAATAGGGGATTTAAATCTCCCATATTACAGTATTAGCAGCGAGACTGTAATTTGGAGGCATTGAAATTTATATAACCAGTGTGATGGACCTGCTAGGGCCCTGCAAGTACCATCATAGTAGTGTGAAGCATGGATAATGAAGGTTAAAACAGGTGTTAAGAAAACCTGATTATAAAATGAAGTTGACTGAACTGGCTCAGAAATGAATCCATTGTCAGGCGTGTCTTTGCTAGGTTGTAATTTTGGGGTTTATATGAGCTACCATTGCAGTATATAAGGAGTGCAAAAATTAATGTTTTTGCTGTGATAACATTAAAATATTCATACAGGGTGAATAACTGAGAGGCCTTGAATTTATAATTATAAATCAAGCAATAATTTGCCTATTAAAATGGAATTTGACAAAAGTGTGCACTTTGCAATACTGACACAGTGCCTGCCTGCTCAGTTCACAGCTTTTCCTTCAGCTCATGATCCAGGCATAGGAAAACTGATTTCGCCATCATCTACAAATATCTAAACATCTACTATGGTATGTATTGAAACATGAAAAGGTCTTGAAGACCGAAATTTGGTTTTTGGGCAGGACGTACCAACTCAAAGACACTATAACAAATATATCAAATGACAATATATATATATATATTAAATACTGAATGCGAATACAATGTAAGTCCCTGGAGGTAATAGGCCTCCAGCAATCAACCAATCAAAATCGTACACACCAGGAGAGGAGTGAATCAACTGAACAGTTCAAGCTCCCACAACAGAATGGAACACTCTCA